TCTCTGTCTGCGCGCGGCCTGCGCCCTCTTCTATCCCTTCATTCGCAGCAAGGCAGCGGCGGCGGCGTAGATGGTCTATAGGATTAGATCATGTTTCTTATTTTGCGTCGGCTGATGCTTGATGCAGGAAGTAGTGTCTTACTCCCTCCGTCCGGAAATACTTATCATCAAGATGAATAAAAGGGGATGTATTTAGATGTATTTTAGTTCTAGATACACCTCTTTTCATCCATTTTCATGACAAGTATTTCCGGACGGAGGGAGTATGTTTTAACCGATTTTGCTTCAACAAGAAAGAAACTTGTGTTAACTGATGGGGGGCATATCTGGTCTTCTCCTTTCTCATACTTTTGCTGAACTCAGAGACAAATTTGCTAATCACATTGTGGTGCTTATTACCTGAAAAATATTGTGAATGATGCCATACTGTGGCCTACACAGAGGGATCATTTACATTTTGCTCTGGCTGGGGCTTGATGCTGGAACTAGTGTTGATGTTCTTTAGGACTTCAGGCTGCTCGAATCTGAATGTTGTTTGAACTGTTTTTACCTGGCAAGAACCTTACTTTGAATGATGGTTTTATCTTACCATCATCATCTTTAATCATGTGAAATTCGTGTATTCTGTAGATCAACATAGTAATTTCGAAATAGGTTGCAGTAAAAATCTTGGAGGCAGAATTACAAGCCTTAAATAACACATGTAAGCTTTTCGAGGTTTAATTCCTTATATTACAGTATAAGTGAAAACCTCATGGCCGCCTGGCCGGAACAGGCTGCAACAGCAAGGCCCCAAACCTGATTTTTCATTATTAAGTCTCATGTGCTCAGCATACTCCTTTTACACGTCTCTACACATATGACCCTCTGTTCAAATGCCTTAAATTGTTTGCAGATTTTGAACCTCTTTCTTCTGTCAGCATTGGTGGTTTTCTCATGTTATCAGTTGACACTTAATTCTTTTTTAAGCAGAGTTGACACTTAGTTCTGTTGATTGATATATGCAGCTAAAATATCAACCCAGGAATGGCAATGTCTTGGACACGAGCATTGAAGCATGGAGTTACTCCAAGGGATGCAGCTCAACTGGTCGGGATAAGAGGCTTTGCAGCTCAGGCCAAGGGAAAGAAGGGTGGGAAAGGTGGTGCGGCTGATGCTAAACCTGTGCTCAGCAAAGAAATGAAGAGTACAACTGTGTTTGGGGCAAATATCCTGAAGGAGGGTTCTGACCCGAAGATCCAACCAGATTCGGAGTACCCTGACTGGCTGTGGCACCTGGTTGACAAGCGTCCTGTGCTGAGCGAGCTGCGGAGGAAAGATGCCAAGACACTGCCTTATGAAGACCTGAAGCGTTTCGTCAAGTTGGACAACCGGGCTAGGATCAAGGAAAACAATGCTCTCACTGCTAAGAACTGATCAGGAGAATCACATCTCATGTAGTGGTCAAAGTAAGCATATTGTCCTGTCTTTTGTTACAAGGTTTATTAGTTACTTTTGGTAATAATGGAGTGACTTATTTGCTTGGCTCAGTACAATGTAGGCTATGTGACCAACATGCTGTTTGTCATGTTCTTGTTTAGATGTAACTTCTGTATCTTGCAGCAAATCCTGTAGGAAGTTTCCCATGCTCTTGCTTGGCTTGGTACACTGTTTTGCAGCAGGAGTTTTAAGCCTATCAATAGAAAGACAGAGATATTTGAATATGAGTAGAACATGCACACAAAAATTACAGCTTTGCAAAATTAGCATGAATTCATTTGAATAATTGGTGAATGTGATTTAGGAGACTGTAACTTGGAGCAGCACTGCAATGCTACTTTTCTAGCACAAACTGCAATGATCTTTAGTGATAAAAGAAAATCATGTTGTGCATCCTCACGCTGCATTCTCTCATGCGTTCAACATATTAGAGTCCGATCCAACATTTGCTGAGAGTTTGTGCAACCAGAGTATTTTGTCAAAGAAATAACAATATTTCAGTTCCTGAGCATACAGTAGAGGCAACGTTTAGTTCTGATAGCAAAAGAGAACGCCAACAACTTTACTGTAATAACTACTGCAATCAACCTTAAACTGATAACCAGATAAGAAGAAGCAAAATTCTGATTAAATGTTAGAACTTTGCTATATCTATCTAAAACCTGCACTCTCATTAATCCCCAAATTTCAGGCGCATAAGAGGATAGCCAGACCTTTTCTGAACTTCGTAGTACTGTCCATTGTTTGTGGAGCTATATATATGTAGACTTCAGATCAGCTATAGTTGAGGTTAAATTATTAACTGCGACTTTATAAAGATGTAATGAGAAGGGAATAATAATCAGTAAGCCAATGATGTGACAACGGCCATGTCCACAACCGCATCATACGGCCGGTGAGCTAGTAAAGATTCAAGTCAATATTTATTCAACCACCAAAAACCAGAAGAAAACTGGAGGCATGTATGACAAGCACAAAACCGAAGAGAAAAAGGAGGTCAAAAACACGCGGACACATTCCATGTTTCTTTACCTATGAATATTGTCTTTAGTTCTTTCTTTATTTATTTTCTTTCAAAGAGTCTTCATGTTTTGTTTCCATAGTGAAATGGCAGATACGTTATTTGTTCAAATGAGCGAAATTTGCAGGTTTTACTGGCCTAGTATTCTCTCTGAAACCTCCTTTTCCTAGGCTTGATAAATACGACCCAGATACTATAGTGAGTTCTCTTGCGGGTTGTGAACATGTAATACTGCAATCGACAGGTTAAACTGGGTTTGTCTAGAATAAAATCATTACTAAAATGTTGGATTTAAGAATCAAAATTCTGAATTAAATTTGCCAAGCACAGTTCGTTGATTGTTGATAAACATGACGCAAATAGATCAATGTCATTTCAGACCAAACATTTTTCGAAGATCAGGTGTACGTGCAATGCTGTTAAATTGGAGGTACCAATTCCCCTGCTGCTTGGGGACAATTTTTAAGATCAGGTGATGCGCCACACTGTTAGCACACACTGTCTCGTGGTAGGTGGCAACTCATTGTATGGAACCTGGAAAGAACTTTTCTTCTGCACCTTTATAAGTGCCTTAAAAATTCGTGTAAACATTTAAGGGGGTGTACCGAAGCAAAACTCACATAGACTATTGTACTGATACACATGGATGCTGGTAATTACGACTATCCTTTTCTGTACCAGAAGATATGATCTTAATGTGAGGCAAATAGGTGGTAGCTAATGCACCCATCAACCTTCCCACACGTGAGTATGATCAATTCGCATAAAGGATGCCAACGCACTATGTTCTGTCGTTAAATGTAGTCCTGTTTTATGTAGCTATCCATCTTTGCTCTTTTGCGATGATATATAGCAGCATCCAAACCAACACAAAGTGAACGGACGGAGTATAATAATAAGCATGTTGTGAAATTTACAACTTTAATTCTTTTCAGTATCCAAAATACCAACTTCACAAAAATGGTGAGCGTAATTTTAGGTTCTTGAAAGCTCACCAACCTTCCATTAATTAGGTTCTTATATAGGAAACTGCACTGGACATATCACGTATCTTTGATTGTAACCTTCCATATAACATGTCACATATCCTACCTCTCCTTACAAAGCCAACTGACCCAAACCAAAACGACTCAGGTTGTGATTTTGGAAAAGAAGATGTCTATATCAATTGCGAAAAATATCGTATATTAAGCTTAGGCACTTGTGTGTTAAGAATGGAAGGCACTCAGGAAAATATTCTTTGTAGAAGGCTACAAGTGTGCGCAACATGGTTGGCCGCATAGCTAGGTATGTGCCATGTGTCATGACCACCAGGAGAACGTTGCTTGTTTCTTGGTATTCTGCTTGTTCGTCCAGGAGCTTTGGCACCACGCCCTTCAGCTTTGCAAGCAAATGCCCGCGCTCGCACCACCGGCCGCCACCACCTCACAACTAAACTAGTGGTCGAAGCATCATAGGCGTGCTTGGAGCTGCCTCGTTTAGATTGTAGAGTGGACCACCTAGAAGGAGAGGAATGAGGGTCTCTTCAAGAATGTCGCCTCCACCATGAATCAAAACTTTTGTTGTGCGACTGAGGAGATCACTCTGAGGAATAAAGCGGGACAAAGCAAACTATTTTCAGCTTATGCACCATCCTTACAACCTGACAGCCGAGGCAACCAATCTGCTGCAGCGTTGTAGTGTTATCCTTCGAATAGTCATTTCTTTGGGAATTGGTAGCTTTTGTTCCTTTGGTACGTTGTTCTCACACTACCCTCTCCTATCTTTCCCTACTAATAAAGCACGGAGTGCTTTTGGTCGTACGTCGTCGTCACTTTTGCAAAAAAGGCCCTCTATTTTCAAGAATTCAACCCGCAGTCCCTTTTTAAGTTGCTATCTCAGAAAACGTTTCGTTATTACAAAAAGAACCCTGCCGTTTTGAGAATTCAACCCGCGGTCCCCCTGGAAAGAAAAAAAACCTAGCCACACGAACGCCCCATGAACCCCAATCTCATCCACCTCCAGCGCCGCCACGCCCTGCAACGCCGCCGCGCGCCGCCGAACTCCGCCCCGTCGTCGCCCCGCCGGAATCCGCCGGAACTCGACCCGCCGTCGCGCCGCCGCTCAAGCCCAGCTTCTGGATCGGGTCAACGCGGTGGCTCGAGCGGCTGGGGGCGGCGCGGTGGCTCGTGCGAACCAGACCGCTCTGCCTCCCGCAGCTCCATCCTGCCCGAGCTCCCCTCGCCCCCGCAAGCCGCCTCGCCGGCGACCCCACACCTCCGCCGCGCCTCACCGCCGGAGCTCCGGCCGCTCCGCCGCCTCGCCCCTCTCCTCCTTCCTCTCGATCTCCTCTCACCTCTTTCTCTCTTTCTCGCTGAACAGGGACCTCCAGAAGGGCCATGGCGCCACCAGCCCTTAATCTCGCCGGATCCGGCCGCCTGCACGCCAAATCCGCCGGAAATGGATCCGTCCCGTCCAGATCCGGCCGGATCCGACCGGGCCCCGCCATCCTCGTCACTGGAGCACCGCCCCGCTCGACCAACAGCGTCGGCGCTGTCTGTCCCTGCCCGCGTCTGCACGAGGACGACGCTCGTCCCGCTCGCTTGCAGCAATCGCATGGGCCGCCGCCCCAGCCGTCCCGGCATCAAGCCAAGGCCCAGCCCAAGCCACATCTTCTGTCGCTCCATCATTGCCCACCTTGAGATCAGCCCCGACGCCACCACCATCTTCAGATGCGTACGCACACTACTTCCTTCTTCAAATTGCTTCACCACATCATGCTGAATTTGCAAATGGCCGCTCCTTACATGTGTGATCGAGAAGCAAGGTCAAGTATGAGCAGGCTGTCAGCGTGTAGTGGTCGGAGATGCCGTCGCAACTTACATGTCGCAGTCGTCGGCTCCATGCTAAGATTACGAGGCTCTATGGTTGTATCGTGGTGTTCCAGTAGTAAACTTTCAGGCTGGTTAGATAGGGGATGAAGATGATGTATACTACCTAACGGCCATCGAGTAATAAAAGGAGATGGATTGAACTACATGATTTATGCCATGGGAATGATGAAAAATCTTTGAGTGAGGATGTTGAATAATTCAGTCCTGATCAATGGCTTCTCATAAAAGTCTTCCTGCCAGCAAGAGAGCCCTTG